TGGTACCACTATGGTTCAATCTCGAATTTTGTTATCGGCAATCTTTAAATTAAAATTACTTTAGAAACTAAAACCATAATAAAACGTCTAAACACACGGTTATTATTTGATATTATCAGTGTATTTTGATTACGACCAGTTGGAATAAAATTGAACAGCCGAGACCGAGATCTAGAAATCGATTTACTAAAAAAGACCACTTTAAACTTTTAGATACTTTTAGTAGTACTGTACGTAATGACCATTTTGTTAATTAATTTGACAAATAATTTCCGTACTATAAATCATATGTTTTGTATTAGAATGTTGCGTTTAATGCGTGCGACTCGTGCACGTCAAGTTTTTTCTTCACTATAACCCAGTTGACAAGTTTAGTTACTTTCAATTTATTTTATATGTTTTGCATTATGAAATACTTGGCTAATTACATTTATTTCGTATACATATTTTATGAAGAAGAACTTAACGTTTTGGATATCTTATTTATGCGCATTTGCAACATATATTTTCTTTGTTCTAAAGATATTTTTATAGGGATAACAATTTCAGACAAGCGAGACGGTAGAAATTCTATACAAATTGTCCAATTATAATCAGGATGATGATTTACGTGAACAGGTAATTTATTATAACAGAATTTTCGTAAGACTTTAATTATTCTACGCATAATTTTATCAGCGTTTACAGAAGTTCGGACATCTGTATAAATTTTATCGAATTATTACGTAAAAGACAAAAACAATGTAAAACAACAATTGCATTATGTTCTTATGTACATATATTAGAAAATTTATGCACATTATGTACTAACACCATACGTATATAAACATGTATAGCTGGAAAAAGTTTTATAACTATTAGCTAGTTTAATTATTATTAATTTAATTTAATTCGTGATAGTACCGCGGTAGAGTATATGTAAGCGATAAAGATCTAAGCTAGATTGTTATAGCCTTTTTTTTGTATTTGTATTGATTGTGTTTTCACATTAACGGTCTTTAGTATTGAATATTGTTTTATAACTAATTTTTTATTTTACACGTCAAAAAAGCTATTATTTGAATTATTGATTATACTGTCAATGTATACCTACAATACATACATATACGCTATACATTTTTTGTCTTACAAAATTAAAGATATTTATTGTAAAACTTTTGTAATTAATGTTAATGTATGTACAAATACCTAAAATATATGAATATTAACGGATATGTCAAATTCATAATATTGAATAACTTGACTTCATAATGTTGATGTTACATCCAGTTTGAATTATTTTTAATCATTTCTGTAGATAGCCACTGATTGTACTCAGTATGCCGTTAACTTATCTGGAACAATGGAATTGAATAATTTTTCTCAATGCAACAGATTAATTTTGACTCAAATTTAGTTTATTTCTTGAGGACACACAAAATAAAATATGAATTCAATTTACTTTGGAACTAAAAAATGACTTGAATTTTAAACATATTGTAGTTAAAAATAACATATTGTTATTTAACCTATAAGATTGGTGATTATTGTTTCACATATGACATATTTTTATTATTTTTTAATAATGTCTTAATTATTTACAAAACCATTTCGTAGAATTTATACAAGTGTCCAATATGTCGTAAAGGTTAGTGTCTATTTTACATTTCTTAGATCATTTATTTCTATTAGATTTTACAATTTATACTCCAAATAAAACAAAGGGAGGTAAAATTTGGCTCGGGAGATTTTCGCTTTGGATATAATACCATTTACAAGGTATGTTCTACATTACATTGAATAGAAGATTAAATATTTATTTAAAATATTTATCTATTTAAAAATAAACATTAGATAATATACCTACATTTAATTTACATTTTAACGTTTTCAAATTAGGCTTATTTAAAATAGGTACAACATTTTTATGTAGTATTTTAAAGAATGTGTAATTATAAATAATTATGGTGCTAATTATAAATATTCTGTGCTGTCAGGGTTATTCTTTTACGTGAATTGTTTTCGATTTAACACAAACCTTTTTATCGATTTTATGATGAAAGCATATTTGTTTCAGGTATACAGTGGAGTTTTAAACTTCCTAATAATTTTATTACAGGTATGTGATCCTTCTATTGTCTCTAATGCATGACATAAATGTTTTGATTATAGTTTAATATCAATATGTGTATAATTAAATGCGTTTTGGTTAACCTTTTATGCTCACACTTTAAAAAATTATAGTTTATTCCTAACTTTATTCATCAAGAAAATGGAATAATAGTGTTGTAGTGAAAAATTTAACTTTAATCCTAAAAAAAATTGTAACGAGTGAACTTCAGAAAATAAATTTTTTACTTAAAGTTATAACTTTTTAAATTTATAAAATTTTTTTAATTTGTCCTAATACTTTTGAGATTTACATTATGCTCTGTTCATTTTGACTCGTAATAAGCATAAAGGGTTAAATTATATAAAATTTCTGATTGTTATATAACAATTAAAAAATTTTATATTCGATTATGGAATATATTATATTATAATAATTATATTATAATACATTATATTATAAAAATTTGTATCCTTTATTTAATCCTTTTTAGATGAATTTAGTAGATTATATTCTGAATACCTATACTTAGGGATTGAATTTTGTTTAATCTCAACGCTCTCTAGCAATTCGATAATTACACCAGTCGACGCATATTGAGCGAATATGCTATTTTGTTTTATGTTGTGCATTTTATAGCCTGTATTTAGGTGGTACAATAAAATGATATGTGTCATGACTTACGAGAAAACGTCTTTTCTTATCCATCAATGTATAAATTATTACAGTATGGGTTTTATTCAAATTTCTATCATATTGCTATGCAAGTATTGTACTTGATAGCATAAATGATGGTGCATTCTATTTCACATATACTTTTTTACATTCATTGAACAACAAAGATGCATCATACATATATGAAATGAAATTCACTCATAGTTAATAAAAAAAAAAATCCTTTTTCTTATCAGCAGACTAATTAAAGTATTATATGCTTCAAACTCCGTATATTTTAGTGACGGCGGAAGCTGGTGTGTAGTTTCAATACGGGTGCCACAGACCTAGCACCGTGTTCTCTCCACTATAGGTTGTTGTCGGCCATTGACGAATATATATATATTTACGAACATCAATGAACATCATTTACGAAGTGTAATGTGTAACGAATTTCTTACGTGTTCCCACGTAACCATTACATGCACGTAACTGTATTTAATCTAGTTCAATCGAGTTTAATCGTTGTTTAACGTAAAGGAAAAGTTCCGTGAAGTATTGTGAAGTACTGAAAAAATTTGGGAAATATACATATATATTATACATAACGATAAGTTTTTCTCATATTTACAATTTATTTCTTATCTCTTTTTGTATATATATATACATGTATATATATATATTTATTTCTTTATTTTGTATATTCTCACTCACTCACTCACTCTCTCTCCCCCCTCTCTCCCTCCTTCTCTCCCTCCCTCCCTTTCTCTCTCCCCCCCCCTCTCTCTCTCTCATTCTTTTTCTTTATAGTCATACCTTCTATTACATTCATTATATCATTATACAATATGCATTACATTTTTTAACCACACCGGGTATTCAAAATATTTGTATATCCGACAGTCCGCAGTCTGTAAAGTGGGACGGGAAAATGTACTGCATTATATTTTTAATAAAAAAAAAAATAAAATAAAATTAGCGAAAAATAATTGTAACTTTTATAGTAAGGAAAGCCCCCTATTATGAGATAGGCGCTTAACATGAAATAGCGGTGTTTCTGCTAAACTAATAAATGCTATTTGTTGATTTTATCATGAAATTATTGCTCTTGGATTGAAAACTAGTGGAAAATTCATTGTTAGATCATGCCTACAGTAATTGTAAAATAAAATTTTAGAGTTTGAATGTTTTCAAGTTTCATTGAGATAAGCCTTTAATCTTTGTTTATTATTTAATAAATAATTATTTGGCAATAAATTCTTCATGTAGTAATAGAGTAAGATCGTACTGATAGAAAAATACGAAATATGTTGAATTGTTTAATTAAAGAAGTTAGATTTGATGATCGTAAAGCTGTAAGACGTGATACTCGTAATATGAGATACCCAGGATATTTCTAATATGAAATAATCTATACTTCTGTGCCCAAGTGAAAATCGATGTTAAAGTATAAATGTTATTGTACAATAATAAAAAGAATAACCGGAATGAACATTGAGGGTCTGTTTCTGCAATACTTAATTCCAATTACTACTAAAGGCAAATCCTGAATACAATGCATCACATGCTCAATTTACGCGCATAGGCTGTACTCGTTGATATGTTAGAAACATCAAATAAAGTTTTTTTAATTCTAATACTGATGTGCTTTGTGCTTTATTATCGATTTCTCGGGGTATCTCATACTAGGAGCACAATTTTTCGACTTTGCGATTTGTTCACCTTTTACATTTCTTTAATTAAAAAATAAAATAAAATTTGAATTAAATTTTACATAACACTATCTTAAAGCTTATTAAATTCTCTTTAAAATGACCTATTATTTTTTTTAATTCTACCAATAAACATTTAGTAATTACACAAAATGAACTCGATATCTCATAATAGGGGCCTCTCCTTTAATATTTAATAAAAAATATATGTATAAAACATATATATTTATTAAATAAATATTAATAAAAATAAAAAAAGAATTTTTAATAATATTAGATAACACCTTTATATTAATCTAAATACAAAATCTGAGCAATGTGTTAAGTAATGTTATTAACATTATTTAAGATTGCATTATTTTAGATGTGTGGAGAAACAGTATATTTCTCTATCTTAAATAATGCAAACTTAAATAATGTTAATAACATTAGTTAACACATCGCTCAAGAACTTATAAGCTGTTATATTCATATGGATATGCGCGTATAGATTTGAATATCCCCACTACTGGTCACGTGCATGATCGATACCTTGGTCACGTGCCCTTTTAGTTCCAATTTTGGTGCCATAGAGCCAGGTGGTGCTAAGGAGCCTGTATCATACAAATTTACAAGAAAAATGGCGACTTTCGTTTGACAGACGAGTCACCGATGTGCAAAATGCTTCTAGTTTCCAAAATGACTTATCGTTTTGTTGAGAAATATCGCGTTGATAAACAATGGCACAATTTTTACGAGTGTGCAAACCTGAAATCTGTTGTGTGGCCAGAAGTTATGGAACTCGGAGGTTAGATCTGTTTTTGTTATTATGTTACATCATAATCGTTATCAAATAATAAATTTGTTTTTTTTTAGCTAGCTACTTTTTGTACTCTATTATAATCTTTCATAAATAGTTAGTATAATGCTCTTCTCCAATTTTTTGTAATTTTATAAATTTTGATATTTTCATGAGTAAAATATATTTCGAGAAGAAAAATTGTTTATATTTTTCATTAATGTTAGTTTTTTTATGTCAGTACGTTAAAAAATGATAATTCTCTGATTATTTTATGCAGGTTCTCTTTTTTCATTAATTATAACTACAAATTATTTTTTTGTATAATTTAAATTATAGTAGAGAATAGTTTGTCATTCAAAGTTAACATTATGTATTCTTTTTATGTAGATATTTAAAAAATTTGGGATAAAAAGAAAATAAGATTGACTCTTTTTCTCGGAAAATATATTCTATGCATGAAAAAACACAAATTTACAAAATTACAGGGAAATCCAAAGGAAAGAACATAATACTATATATTTATCCACAATCTTCTCTCTTTCCCTTCCCTTTAATATAAGAGATGGAAATATATACTTATTTTATTCTGAGTGCAGAAAGTGTCAGCCTGCTAAAAGAAACAAATTTAATTTTTGCCAATGTAGCGCGTTCCTTTTAAAGGTACCAGCAGAATCATTATGAAATTTTAAATGTTTCACCTGATGCGTCGCAGAAAGAGATTAGACAAGCTTTTATAAAATTATCAAAACAAGTATGTAATCATCTAAATACAAGAAGTATGTAATGCTTTAGATAATAATTTGTATTAGGAGAAATCATAAATTTTTAATTTGGATAATATTACAAATATGAACAACTTATTTTTTTCTGAATATTGTTTATTTTTTTCTGTTTTCACTAGTTTATATTTTTTAATCATACTAATTGTACATTTATTTTTGCTAGTTGCATCCAGATACTAGTGGTAAACAAGGTCATGCTGATTTTGTAAGGTTGAACGAGGCATACATGATCCTAGGCAAAGAAAATACAAGGCGCCTATATGATTTTGATTTGAAGTATAAGTTTAACCCGTCTCACATATATAATTCACAAAACATGTAAGTTAATATAATATTGATTTTATTTAAAAATACTACTAATGCAATATGGAATTAAGTCATATTTTTAGAATTCTTGCTTTTGCAATTCCAAATTTGTTTTGTGAATATCTGTAGAAAACTCATCACATTATTTAAAACAAATATAATATAATCAGTGAATATGCTTTTTTGATGTAATGCTGAAATTGTATTATTTTCATTTCCATTCTCTCTTGCTCTCTCTCCGTGCATAAAACAGTTCTTCAAGGGACTAAAAATGTCCAGAGAGAAGTTCTGTTGTATGGAGTGTTATATTTTTGTAAACAGATTAAAATAAAGTGACTATATTTTTATAATTGATTCTATATTCCATGTATAAATGCAATAAATATGTAATAGTGAGCAAAAAATTTAATACAAGTAACATAATACATTGTTTCAGGCAATATAGCAGTCAATGGGAATATGAAGTACGTACAGCAGGAGGACCGTGGCCACCACCTCCACAACAACCGAATACCAACTTTGGCCTCCTAATAGCTCTTGGGTGTATTGGATTAGGGTTGCTACAACTTATCTTCATATTTTATTCTATTAAAGTGAGAAAGATAGTAGCTTTGCGGAATGCTCTAATAGAACACAAATACCAACAAATTCGAGAATCGGTACATATTAAAGCCGATAAGTTTTCTATAAAAGATCTTAATTCCGAAGAGGATTTTAAAGAGTACCTGACTGAAGACAGTAGTAGTGAATGTTAGCAAAAATTTTATTAGAAATTAAAAAAATGGTAGTTAGAGACATAGTGTTTTCCTCGATTTCCTTTTCTTTCCTGTTTTACTAAAAATATATCCTATTATTATATGATTTTTATATAAAAATGGCTTTATATATTTATATTTCACGGATTCTTTTTATATAAAATTTTGTTTATCTGCTTAATAGAAAAGATTTGAAAGCATGATATATTAAATCTATAAAACAAAATCCAAAATGTTCTTTAATATACCTCAATTATAAAAAGTTTTAAATATTTTTTTTATTTTTATCTATACTTATATAAAAGGGTGAAAGCTATAGGATAAAGTGGGATAAAGAAAAAAAATTCACTTAATTATGATTTTGAGGAACAAAAGATTTTATTAGATTAATTGATCTAATAAATTTGTGAGATGAACAAATCGAATATTAATACTAAGATGATGAATTATGATCTCTACTTTTTCTTTTAACGTATCTATTTCAATAAACTATACCAATGGCCTGAAATCGACAGATTTAAAAAAGTAACGTCACTACTATGGTCACTCTTTCACAAACAGTAAAGAAAAGCTACGGTAAGAAAATTACTTTATTTAAATATTACATCGTATAAGACGATACATGTGAGAAACACAACCAATAAGAAATTGTCTTTAACAGTCGAGCTGGATCTTAGATGCTATTATAATTCCATGTGAATTTATATATTACGTATGTAATCGTTTAAACCACGCGCCGAACAATTTTTCGGTCTTGAAACGCCACTCTATGAAACTATTGCAATAATATCACAAATTAAATTATCTACCAATTTAACAATTTTGATGTTCATAGCATCTTGAATCTTAATAAAATTGAATGATATATTAAAATCTATGAATGACATATTAAATATCTGTAAATGATTTATATTGCGAAAAATATTACCTCGGCCAAGAGTCGAATTCGGATCTTTAATAGTAAAATTACTTTAACAGTAATGCATTATTTGACTTATATTTTTAATATTTTTTAGATAATAATAATAGACGAAAAAATTACATTTTACACTTATAATTTTTTAAAATTATATATATACACACATATTTCAGCGATACATATGTATTTGTTAATAATACATTTTTTGCACATGTAAATATACAGACATCTATGCTATCTCAATCCCAATCATTTCTTAAAGCAATTATTGTATTTACAATAATTTAATATTACATTTAGATGTAACTTAGATATGTATATTTTTTACACATAAATTGTACAGTAAATTATAAAGTATATTTTATTCATTATTTTTTACAACTAAAACACTGCTATACATTTTTAATAATCAACGTAATATAATATAATATATTGCTATTTTGTTATTCTTTACACAAACTTTTGTCCATTCCAGATGTACTTCTCTCTTTAATTCCATATCTTTTAATTTTATTTTTACAATTTCTTTACATATGTGACAGCCGCTACGTGTGGTGGTGCAGGTGAAAAGATTGGTTTTCCGTCCTCATCCACGTAATCCTTATAATTAATTTTATATATCTGATCGTAACCAAGTCGTTCGCACATCTTAGTGGTAAAAATGGACGTACAATCTGCCCTGAGGTAATGAAATCCTTGTTCCTTTGCCATTTCCCTGCAATTTATAAGTTGATCAAGAAAATATCTTTCGCTCTCTTAAACGCATCTCTCATTTCGATCGATCTTTAAATATATCGCAAAAGCAAGATAATATTTACGATGTTTTTTCCATCAGAGTCGTCCCGACACCTCTTCCTCTCCAATTTGTGTCCACCGAAATTATTCTGACCTCCATAATTTTGGAGTCTGGAAATCGTTCACCCATGTTTACACTTTTATCCAGATGATGCAATAATCTCAGTATCTTCTTAAATTTCGGATTTTTACACGAACGTATATATTCCGGTTCTTCATTTGATGAAAGACCCATTTTGCCTGTAAAAAGTAAATCCATGTTAATCTACAACTACGTGAATAATTTATATTAAAATGTTTTTAATAATTAATGTTTAGGTATAACATATCCCTAAAAAAAATTAACATTATAATACACACACACACAAAATTTTTTAAATAAATTACAAGAGAATGGCTCTCGTCAAGAAAATCAACTCTTGTTAAGGAAATTATATCCTCTGATGCCTTTTTAAGGAGCTACTTTTTCGATTGCGTGATAACTCACAACAATAATTCATGTTCTTTAATTTGGTTGTGTAAAAAGATACCTTACAGTCAATCCAAACAGAGCTCCTTAAAAATGTATCAGAGGAGTGGGAGACCACCAGGTTCCTCAATAAATGCTTTTATTTTTGTTCAGCTCTATTATCTTTTAGTTTCTCTTAAAAGTCCTGAAATATCTTGTATAAATTTTAATATGTAGTTATTAAATTAAATAAGTCGATAAAATAAGACACGCACAGTTCCTTTATCATTAATCATTTGCCAATCATTTATTTTTAACATTCCAAACAACAGTTTTTTTTTTCAATATTTTTTACATTTTAATATTTATCGAGGGTAATAATAATCTAGAAATTATTTTAAATATATTCTCGTGTATATAATATGGCGTGACGTATAATCCGTACGTATATAAGCATGTGTCTTGTCACAGTGCATTTTACATATTATCTTTTAACTACAGCTATATATCAATTATAACGCGGATGATAAGCCACGAATTAAGACATAACGTAGAAATAGTATATAAATTTATAACAAATATTAAAAAATTTTTCAGTATGTTAAACAATTAATTTAATAAGTATTTTTATTATAAAATTTAATTTCTTCCGTCACTACACATTTGACACAATAACTTAGATTCTTTATAAAATAATATTTCTGTTATAGGAAGGCCAATTCGAAATTACTTAAACATTTATGTGTAATAGCAATCGTGTTATCTACTAACAAAGTATCTGAATATGAAATCTTACTGTCTCACTGAATCTCACTGTCTGAATGTAAAACATGTTATAGCTGTATTTCCAGTTTTTAATGAAGGAATTATATATTTCTCGACTCTTGTATTACGTGATATTCTTCTTTTTTATGAACTTTGCAAATTAATAATTCTGCATAATAAAAGATAAAGCGAGTGATATCTAAATAGATTCAGTTAATATTTCTATGCTTACTGTTAAATTATAAATCTATCATTGCTGTATCAACAATATTTTTCATTTATAAATGTAATATTTTTGAAGATTTTGTAAATGTAATGTGTTTTTTCTTTTCTTTTTTTTATACTTATAAATATTTAATATTATTTTTTGTATTTATAAATATTTATTAGTATTATGTTAAAGAATATTATAAATTTTAGAGGATATCTCCTTTTGTGTGAGTGATTTTTCATTTTACTATTCTTGTTCCAATTTAAGCTGTTTACGTATTATTTATTCATATTGTTTATTTTAAATCGTATTTAAATGTATGATTAACTTCTTTGTAGCACCGTTAACGATTTGCATATGTATAATTTAAGAATGCGATTTTTGAATGTCGCGTAATAGTTGTTTGTGCATTTTAATGTAGATACATATTTATCAGCAAATTATGATATAATTATCTATTTCGAGTCTCAACCAGTATCGGATAATAACTCACGCGGTATTATTCGAGATCCGTAGCATTTTACGTAACATCACGGTACCGTTGTATTTCTTTAGTCTCTTCTCTTGATGTGCATTTATTTGAATACAGTTAAGATACGTTTCAAATTAACTGACAATTTTTGCATCTGCTCAAGCGAGACGACACAATCGTAAGTATTTCAAGAACATAAAGATATACATATATGTGTACATATTTTCTTTTATCTTTTATATATTAACGAATATAAATAATTTAATCTGAAGAAACATTGGTACATATATATTAACAAATATAGTTTCTTTGATTATAAATATAAGAGATTAATATTTAATAAAATATAGACAAAAAATCGATGGACAACAAATAATAATAAAATAATTTTAATTATTTTGATATTATTATCAAAATTGAAATAGCAATATTTTTACCAATTGGAAAAATTACTTTTATGTCACTTAAAATTTTTTTTCTGGAAATATGTGCTTGATTACTGTTATTGAGAATATACAATTGATTTAAATAACGTAAAACGCACGAGAAACAAAATTACAAACGTGATGCTAGTTCGAGATGTTTTTCAAAAGTTCGAAGAAAGAACATTGTCTTCATAAAAAAGTTTAACCGAGTATTTATAAAGTTAACAAAGAACTACTACTACAGTTTTACCATTAAGCAGAACTCCAACAATTGTGCCACTCGCAGAAACTGCCATTAGACTCAAGTTATTTTCAAATGAGGCATTGCTGCAATATTCCTCCAGTTCTGTGCAAGTACTGTCTTCACCTTCCGGAATCAATTGAATGTTCTGATTTAGCGGCTCGTCTCTGAAGAAAAACCTCCTCAAGAATTTCAGCACTCTCAGTTTGTCATTCTTAGTAATTATCTCGATATGATAATCCATACTGTTACTCGACCCGTCAGCCAAATCGGCCAACTGAAATAAAAACGTTATGAAAATGAGAATACAAAAATTATATGGCATTATAAGAAAAGATTATAACACTATAATACAATTTTATATTTAGAAATTGAATGCTTTTAGGAAAAAATTAAAAGCATTATAATACTAGGCTTATTAATTAATATTTTACAATAAAATGATTAAGAAAAAAGATATTTGAAGGATTATTTGATATATTATTGATTTAGAACGCTATTATTTAATGATTGATGTATATCTTATTTAGACCTAATATATACCTTGGGGTGTACATACATAGTTAACCGGTACATGAGACACGCGTCATGCAATTTCTGTACAATAGGAAATGTAAATTCAGCGCAATTTGCGCGGAACGCTGCAACACGATCCTCGAGTCGAGGATTCAGAGGAAACTTTTATATACGTAGGAATGATTAATGATGCATCAGCTTATTACACCGTACGTTACGTGGACATGCGTGAGACAGTCTCAT